ATTTACAATCCGTCGAATCCTATACAGTTCTAGAATTATCTAGATCAACATATATAAAATTAACTACGATCCAACGGTTCAAACATATTGAACCCGAAAATTGCATAATAGGCGAGATCCGCTCGGGGTTCAAACGTTGTCCAAATTGAAATCCGAAAGTACCTACGCGCTCGTGAGGACTAGGGAATCATTCTGGAACCCTAAGCCGGTCCAAAACCTGACCCACGCGCCGGCAGCGCGTGGGTGCCCAAAGCGAAACCACTCGCCTGAAAATCTCAAAATCAAGGGTCAAGCTTCCTACCCTAGGTTCAGGACATCAATTGAAGCCACTTTTGTTCTTGGACATACCCCGGAAAATGGTCGGAAGTGGCCAAAATTTCAACCCGAAATCCGGCCAAACTTTGAATCCAAAATCGAACTATCAACGCTATATGAGATTCCATGCTTTGCTTGCCAGAAATGGCGGCCGAAGGAGAGAGATCGAGGCCGGTGAAATTTTGTGAAAAACCGATAGTTCTCAGGCTTTTTCTGGCGAAACAAGCGGCGGCTGGTGCCGGGAAAGGGCTGGGGTTTGACGGCGGGGTCGAGCCGGTCCTTATGGCACCGGTCCAGTGCGTTGTCATAGCCGGAGGCGGTGGTTCTGGCAAAAGGGAGGGGGGCTGCGGCTGAAGAATCAAAACAGGGGAGGGGGTGCGCGACGCGGGGGAGAGAGAGAAAGAGAGAGAGAGAGAGAGAGAGAGAGAGAGAGAGTCATATTTAAAAATCTTATTTTCAAAAATTACGATTTTGTCCCTGACATATTTTGATCGTATTTTCCTCAATACGACCCGGATTTGAGCCCACTACATGTCTACAGACATGTTTTTTCACGCTCTACGCAACGGTGAAAGCAGAATTTTCAGGTTGTTTCCCGGTCAAAAAGTCAACTTTTTCTCCAATAATTTAATCCATGGGTAAAATTGTCTTTTTCCCTAATAAATTAATAAGTAAAATTTATTTCAGGATCGGGTTATTACATGTGAAGTTCATATGTAAATTCAGAGTACTTAGAGTGATAGAAAGATTGAGAGATAGAGAGAAGAGAGCTCCTCCTCTCATCCTTAGCCATCTTTAGCAAAGTCGGTGAATAGGTGTACACTAGTAAAAAAAAACCCCTTGCGCGACCAAATTTTGCGCGATGAAACACAATTCATCGCTCAAAGTGACTTTGCGTGACGAAAATTAAACTTCGTCGCTCAAAGTCTTACGCGACTAAATTTTGCGCAACGAAACACAAATCGTCGCACAAAGTCACTTTGCGCGACAAACCTTTGCGCGACGAAGTGTGGTTCGTCTCGTAAAGTCTTTACAAAAATAAAGAAAATAAAATATTATTTGTAAAAATCTTTCATGACTTTGCGCGACGACAAAATAAAATTCGGTGCACAAAATCTTGCGCGACGAAGTGTGTTTCTTCTCGCAAAGTCTTTACAAAAATAAATAAAATAATTTTTTTTATAAAAATCTTTGCATGACTTTGCGCGACGAATTTCTAAACTTCGTCTCGCAAAGTCTTTACAAAAATAAAAATAAATAAAATAAAAAAATTATTTTGTTAGAAAAATATAATATTTTAAATGTATTATATTTTAAATTGACGATCAAATTTGTTCATTGTATTCATATAGGGTCAAGGAGTGTAGCTGTAAAAAATCATCAAA